CCGCGCCCACCTGCGCCCTGTCGATCTCCTGCTGCACGACGTCGCCGGCGCCCGCCACCTCGCGGGCGACTTCCTCGAGGTCCTCCATGAGCCGGCTGGCCTCCTCCTCGCCGGCCTCGAGCACCAGCGCAGGGTCGCCACGTCCCTCGGCCACCAGCCGGTCCAGCCGCGACGCCTCGCCGTCCAGCTGGCTCGCGTGCGTGGCGTCCGCCGCCCCGCCCGCCACCTCCTGCGCCAGCGCCCGGATGCTGGCGGTCGTGCGGTTCACGCGCGCCCACCACGTGGCGTTTTGCGCCCGGCCGCCCGCCCCGCGCCCGCCCTCCTCGCCCCCCCTCTCCGTCTCCAGTCCATCTTCTCCCCCTCCTGCACTCCCTCTCCTCCTCCTCCTCCTCTCCTTCTTCTCCTTCTAATTCCGCGCGGAGACGCCGCGAACACGAGGGACCGCTCGCGTCGGCCGGCGGCCCTCTCTTGGGAGCTGTGGTCGTAGGAGTTGGTCGTTGTAGGAGTTGTGGTCGTTGTAGGTTGTGGTCATTGTTTGTAGGTCCGTTGTAAGGAGTTGAGTGAGTCGTTGCGTTGTGGTCGTTGTAGGAGTTGTGGTCGTTGTAGGAGTTGTGGTCGTTGTTGGAGTTGTGGTCGTTGTAGAAGTTGTGGTCGTTGTAGGAGTTGGGTCCGTTGTAGACAGTAGTTGTTGTAGAGTTGTGGTCGTTTGTAGAAGTTGTGGTCGTTGGAGTACGTTGTTGTGCTCGTTGTAGAAGTTTGGTCGTTGTCGTGTGTCGTTGTAGGAGTTGTAGTTGTAGTTGTGGTTGTAGTGGTTGTTGTAGGAGTTGTGGTCGTAGGATTTAGTCGTTGTAGGTGGTTGAGTTGTGGTCGTTGTTGGAGTTGTGGTCGTTGTAGTTGTGGTCGTTGTAGGAGTTGGGATCGTTGTAGGAGTTGTGATTGCTGTAGGAGTTGTGGTCATTTTAGGAGTAGTAGTCGTTGGAGTTGAGGTTGTTGTAGGAGTTGTGATCGTTGTGGTTGTGTTGGTTGTGGGATTTGTGGTTGTGGGATTTGTTGTGGCTGTAGGAGTTATGGCTGTGGGAGTCGTCGTGGTTGTGGGTGTTGGGATTGTGGGAGTTGTAAGAGGTGTTGTATCGGGAGTTGTAGCATTTGTTGTATCTACAACGATAGTTGTCGGGGAAGTTACAGGATTTGTGGCTGTAGTGGGAGTTGTAGTTATAGTGGAGTTAGTAGCAGTTGTAACTAAGGTTGTAATTGTAGCAGATGTAGTATTGGTTGTAGTTGTGGTGGTTAATGTAGTCATTGTAGTTGTTTTTGTCGAAGTCGTACTTGTGGCTGATGTTGGAGGTGAAGAGGTTGTAGTTGTTGTAGGAGGCGAGGGGGTTGTAATTTCTGTTGTTGGAGACGAAGGGATTGTAGTTTCTGTCGTTGGAGGCGAAGAGGTTGTAGTTTCTGTTGGAGGCGAAAGGGTTGTAGTTTCTGTTGGAAGGGAAGGGGTTGTAGTTTCTGTTGGATTAGGTTGTTGAGGCGAAGGGGTTGTAGTTTCTGTTGGGAGGCGAAGGGTTGAGTTTCTGTTGGAGGCGAAGGGGTTGTAGTTTCTGTTGTTGGAGGCGAAGGGGTTGTAGTTTCTGTTGGAAGGGAAGGGGTTGTAGTTTCTGTTGTTGGAGGCGAAGGGGTTGTAGTTTCTGTTGTTAGAGGCGAAGGGGTTGTAGTTTCTGTTGGAAGTGTCTGTTAGGCGAGGGTTGTAGTTTCTGTTGTTGAGACGGGGGTTTTGTTGTTTGGAGGCGAAGAGGTTTAGTTTCTGTTGTTGTAGTTTCTGTTGTTAGAGGCGAAGGGTTGTAGTGTTCTGTTGGAAGGGGGGTTGTAGAGTTGTTTGTAGTTTCTGTTGTGGAGACGGGGGTTGTAGTTTCTGTTGTGGAGGCGAAGCTGTTGTGGTTTCTGTGTTAGAGGCGAAGGGGGATGTTTTCTTGTAGTACGAAGGGGTTGTAGTTTCTGTTGTTGGAGGCGAAGGGGTTGTAGTTTCTGTTGTTGGAGACGAAGGGGTTGTAGTTTCTGTTCGAAGGGGTTGTAGTTTCTGTTGTTGGAGGCGAAGGGATGTTTCTGTACTGGAGACGAAGGGGTTGTAGGTTCTGTTGGAGGCGAGGGGTTGTAGTTCTGTTGTTGGAGGGGAGGAGGCGGAGGAAGAGGAGGCGGGGGAGGAGGAGGCGAAGGAGGAGGCGAAAGGTGGCAGGCGAAGTGGCAGCAGGCGGGGTGGAGGGAGGAGGACCAGGAGGCGGTGGGCAAGGGCGTGGTAGACGAGGCGTTGGAGTAGAAGACCTCGCGCAGGAGGTCAGTGAGGTTGGCCAGCGCGGCGTCGGCGTGGTCCAGCGAGGCGGCCACCTGGCGGAGCGTGGACAGGTCCTGCGCGGCTGAAAATGCGCATAAGATTATCGAGAGAAGGTTATCAGTTCAAGTTTAGCTTGTGAGGATGGGGAGAGGGATCAAAAGTGTGTGTGTGTGAATT